ACTGTAAAAAGGGAAGCTTTTAGCTCATAAAAGAGAACTATATAAGTTTAAAAAGGTTGATCAGACTTTAGCCAGGTGATCGAAGTCAACATCATCAGTAATAGGTCATTTTGATAGTATATACCCATGATGTGACGTGAGGAAAATGGCACCTTGCTTTTATGGTCTTCCTTCTAAAAACTCCTAACACCAACCTAACCATCTAGAAAAACAGCAGATAAATTCCAGTAGAGAGTATTCTATAAGATCTCTGACCAATACCTCTCAAAATTTGTCAAAGTCATCAAAAACAAGGAAGTCTGAGAAATTGTCACAGTCCATGGGGCCTTGGGAGACATGACAACTAAATGTAATGTGGTGTCCTGGAGGAGATCCTGGATCAAAGGGACATTAGATAAAAACTTAGGAAATCTGAACAGGCATGGACTTTAATTAGTGATAACTTATCAATACTGGCTCATGGATTGTAACAAACGGGCCATGCTAATGTAGGAAGTTAGTAATAGGGGAGGCTGGGTCTGGGGTAGGTGGAAACTGCATCATCTGTGCTACTGTAAATCAGACTTTTCTAAAAAATAGTCAATTTTTTAAAAGCTACATAAGGATAGAACATACTACTTTAAATGTAAGGAAACTCTAAAATACAAAGGATCAAATTTATTCAAACTTATATTTATTTTTGAGACAGAATCTTGCTCTGTTGTCCAGGCTGGAGTGCAGTGATGTGATCTCGGCTCACTGCAATCTCCGTCTCCCGGGTTCAAGTGATTCCCCTGCCTCAGCCTCCTGGGTAGCTGGGACTATAGGAATGTGCCACCACGCCTGGCTAATTTTTCGTATTTTAGTAGAGATGGAGTGTCACCATGGCCAGGATGGTCTTGATCTCTTGACCTCGTGATCCACCCGCCTAGGCCTCCTAAAGTGCTGGGATTACAGGCATGAGCCACTGCGCTCAGCTGTCATTTTGAAAGGAGACAGAACTCCCTTGGCTAGAACTGATATATACACATATTGCACTAATAACTGTGCATCCAGTTACTGTAGATGACCAGATAGTGGTAAAGTGAAAATCTGGTGCACTGAAGATTTGAGATTTGAGTGGAGCTGGTAAGCAGACCTTCCTTGCACCCTCTAGGAGTTGACTTGTCATCAAGAAAAGACTTGAGACCAGGCACGGTGGGTCACACCTGTAATCGTAGCACTTCAGGAGGCTGGTGGATCGCCGAGACCAGGAGTTCGAGACCAGCCTGGGTACCATAGGAAAACCCAGTCTCTACAAAAAATACAAAAATTAGCTAGATGCAGCGGTGGATGCCTGTGATCTCAGGCACTCTGGAGGCTGAGATGGTAGGATCACCCAAGCCTGGGAGGTTGAGGCCACAGTGAGCTGTAATCATGTTACTGCACTCTAGCCTGGATGACAGAGGAAGACTCGGTCTCAAAAAATAAATAAAATAAAAAAGAAAACACTCGAAGCTAAAGCTCAATGAGAGCTTAGAACTGGCAGGAGGTACAGAATTAAGAAAATAAAGGTTTTAAAGAACCAAGCCCATAGTGTTAAAACTTTTGTATTAAGAGGAAATCTGGACATATTTGATATTTTATGTATTTCTATGAGAAAATTTTGGCCTATTAGAGTGAGCATCTCGTAATTAATTTAAAATGTGTAACTTGGCTGGGCACAGTGGCTCACTCCTGTAATCCCAGCACTTTGGGAGGCTGAAATGGGTGGATCACGAGGTCAGGAGTTTGAGACCAGCCTAGTCAACATGGTGAAACCCCCGTCTCTACTAAAAATACAAAAATTAGCTGGGTGCAGTGGCAGGCACCTATAATCCCAGCTACTCTGGAGATTGAGGCAGAATTGCTTGAACCCAGGAGGTTGCAGTGAGCTGAGATAGTGCCACTGGACAGCAGCTTGGGTGACAGAGCAAGACTCCATCTCAAAAAAAAAAATGTGTAACTTGGCTAGGCATGGTGGCTCAGGCCTGTAATCCCAGCACTTTGGGTGGCCGAGGCGGGTGGATCACGAGGTCAAGAGATCGAGACCATCCTGGTCAATGAGGTGAAACCCCGTCTCTACTAAAAATACAAAAATTAGCTGGGCATGGTGGTGCGCGCCTGTAGTCCCAGCTACTTGGGAGGCTGAGGCAGGAGAATTGCTTAAACCCAGAAGGCGGAGGTTACAGTGAGCCGAGATCGTGCCATTGCACTCCAGTCTGGGTAACAACAGCGAAACTCCGTCTCAAAAAAAAAATGTGTAACTTAAAAACTATAATTTTAAGTTGAAATATTGTTTATTTTTAGTATCAAAACATCTAATAAAGTATTAAACTCACTATACTTGTTAGTTTAATTTATTAGATTGATAATCCTTAATTTGTACTTAGGAAAGGTATTTAAAAGGGAAACAGAATCTTAAATGTAGTTGAAGATGTTGTAAAAATGCACCTTAGAAGCCAATGATAGAATTTGGTAGGCTTACAGCTTTTAATGGAACAATAAGGTCTACAGGGCAAACTAAAAAAGCGTAGAAAAGCATTCCCAGCCAGGCGCAGTGGCTCGTGCCTGTAATCCCAGCACTTTGGGGGGGCTGAGGTGGGTGGATCATCTGAGGTCAGGAGTTCGAGACCAGCCTGGCCAACATGGTGAAACCCTGTCTCTACTAAAAATACAAAAGTTAGCTGGATGTGGTGGCAGGCACCTATAATCGCAGCTACTTCGGAGGCTGAGGCAAGAGAATCGCAGTAACCCAGTAGGAGGAAGTTGCAGTGAGCCGAGATTGCGCCATTATACTCCAGCCTGGGTGACAAGAGTGAAACTTTGTCTCAAAAGAAACAAAAAAAATAAAGAAAAAGAAAAGCATTCCCAGGCCTTCCCCACCCTGTGGGATCCCCAGCAACTGAGAGTCATCGAGCCTCCACGAGCTGTGTGAAGACACAAGGCTTGTCATGCAAATCCCGAAGTCACCACCCACTGTGTAAGGACCCATCTTCCACATTTCTTATCTTTCAGCAATGAAAAAAATTTTAACTCCCAGTCAGGCACAGTAATAGCCCAATGAATGCATAGGTATACAGAAAGTGACCGTGTAATTTATTATCCAAATCAGGACATGTTTGACAGTGAGAGTGGACATTATTAATAATTATTCTGGGGCAATAGACTTAAACCAGAATTGCCTTGGGCAAACCAGGACATCTGGCCCCTCTAGGTCTAAATGTATCATTGTAAATCCACAAGGGAAAGTAAAAAACTGTCTCCATCATAAGAGAGTACCCAGCGTCAGCAAAATGCCAGATCCTTTACTATTCTACCGGGAGAGCACAAAGAGCCCTTTCATTAACTTCATACCCTAAGGTCTACTAGCCCCTGCATTTCATGAGGTTTCTTCTTCATACCTGGGTGTCATGAGTCCCTTTGTCCTCCACTGACTACAGAGCAATTCTTACAGAGACAGTCTGTGGCCCAGGCTGGAGTGCAGCGGTGTGATTTTGACTTATTGCAACTTCCGCCAGGTTCAAGTGATTCTCCTGCCTTAGCCTCCCAAGTAGCTGGAACTACAGGCACATGCCACCACGCCCAGCTAGTTTTTTGTATTTTAGTAGAGTCGGGGTTTCACCATGTTGCCCAGGCTAGTCTCAAACTCCTAAACTCAGGAAATCTGCCCGCCTCCACCTCCCAAAGTGCTAGGATTACAGGCATGAGCCACTGTGCCTGGCTGATTACAAAGCAATTCTTAGTGTTTAGTCTGTACCTGTGTACAAAGGTCAGTGTGTAATTCTGAGTTGTGAAACAAAGAGGCTGTTGGCTGCCTAGCTGCTGACTGGTGTGGTTTCTCCAAATCCAGATTCTCATAAATGATCAAGGCTTATTTTAAAGTCTGAGACTGTAGTCTTATTTTTCCACAACTACATACGTAAAAAGGCATCCTATGTCTTCCTGGATATCTTTTATTTTTTCCCTGTAGATTGCCTGATAGATACCATGGGCCAAATGTGTGGCCATGTTATTTGTTTTCATCCAAACCCAGTGGATTTTTGGCAGTTAGTCCAATTCTGTTATGCTCTCCTGTTGTGGGAAAACGGGGTAACAGACACTTGGGCCCAATACATTGCAGGAACTCAGCATCCATCTCAAGCTGGGGTGTTCACATCTGGCTTGGAAGCCCCAGCAGAGCTTGTACACAGTACACACAGCCCATCTCATGACAGCCAAGGGCCTGCCCCCACTGCAGCGCTCTGGGGTTTCAGTCGTGGCCTGTTCTATTTGTACAAGAGTGGCTTATTTGGTGAGAGTTGGGAAAGTTCCTCTGCCAACAGTAATTTTCCCCATACTACCTAACATTCCCTCTTTAGGGTTTTGAATTTTAAGGTTAAGAAATAAGTACAGTGACTCCACAGTACTAGAGGGCCACAATTTTACCCTTTAGTGTGAAAGAGTATAGTCAGATAATCCTCCCAACATCTGGCTGAGCTCTAGAGAGAAGATAGAGGGGGTCCCAACGCAGTAGATGGGGTTGGCAGTACAGAGGGCCAACCCCAAAGGTAAGGTTCTGGGCAGCCGGAGAGCAGCTGGAAGGCCCCTCAAAGGCACACTGGCCTTGGGACAGCTCTTTGCCTTATGACTTTTTATGAGGCCATTGTTGTATCAGCCAAGTGGAAAGGTGGCCATGAGCTTCCAAAATGAGAGCCAAGAGAAGAGACAACTACAGGTAGATGCAGTGAGTCTAGTTTTTTCCCTTTTGCATCTAATTCCTCCCAATTATTTCAGATAATTTGGCAACCTTGTCCCCTGAAATCTGGCACCACTGGGGCTCCTGCCTCTCAGCATTAAAATAAAAAATTCCAGTCTCTGCACAGGCCTCCCAGTGAGATGCCACTCAATAGGGGAGACAGATCAAAGCTGCATTTTCTTAGCAACCGAAGCCTTGCCCAGCCACCATGGAAGAGATCTCTGCCAAACTCCCTCCACTGTGAAGAAACACAACAGAGACCAAGTGAGAAGTAGCTACAGTTTAATACAAACCTGCACCAGAACACAACGTGTCGGGCTGTTTAGTTTTTGCCTCAAATGGTGGCCAAAGCACAGGACCATGTGTTGTCTTGGGGTTGACACAGTCTTAGCACCATGACATTTACGGGAGAGTGGGGAAGTCACCTGGGTGCTGGGGTGTTGGAGGCTCCATCCCGACCCCAGGCTGTGCCTGCGCCTCAGCAGCTGGAGGGGGTTTGGGTTTCCTTGTGGTTCTGTGGCTTCTGGGTCAGTATCAGTAAAGCCCTCATCACGACATTGGCTTGACAGAGACCTACTGTGGACTCCTAGCACTACACACACGCACGCACACTCACACACAGTAGCACAATTTTCTGGCAACTTAACCCCACAAACCTAGAGAGCAGCTAAGGCAAGAACAACAGTATTTATTCAGCAAGTACAAGACCAGTTTGAGAGCTGCATTCAGTGCAACCAGAGACCCTTTTCATTCCAACCAGGAGCCAGTGGGGCTGGTGACGAAGCTGGCTGGAGCTCTGCATGGGGCAAGGAGTGCATGGTGGGGGCTGATCGCTCATTTGGCTCCTTGAATCTCTTTCTGATTTCCATCTAGAAGCTCCCGGACAAGGGTGGGGTCTGTGTAACTACTGGGGGTGGATGAAGCGGATGGCCTACAGTGGGCCACTCCATGATGTGCTTCCCTGGCACCATGTGTCACACATCTCTTGGGCGGAGGCACTCAGAGAAGGTAAGCTTTCCTAGCCTAAGCAAGGATGCTCTGCCCAGCTGGCCACCACCACTGTTGCTGGGCTCTTTGGCATCTGCCCAAGGCCCATGACCCAGTAAGGGCTGAAAGGGATAGAGATGATGTGCACTGCACCAGGAGGCAGTGTCATGGTCCCCCTTCCCTGGTGGCTCTCCCAGGCCTGGGTCCTCACCCCTGTTCCTATGGCTACCACTTTCCATGAGCCCCTTTGCTACCTCTGCTCTCTGGCCGACCGCCTCTGTCCTCTCAGCCCCTGAGTGAGGAAAGGGGGAGGGAAGGGAGAAGTGAGGGTATGGACGCAGCTCACACTGCATGGTTAGCTCCCAACAGGTGACTAGTCCTGGCTCAAACACAGAATGTGCATGAGGTTGTTTATAAGAAAGATGAGAAAAAATATCTATCTGTGCAAAACAAAGCAGGCTGCCTACCAGGAAAGTAAGTCTTCTCGTTGGTTAAACTCTTAGGTGGGATCTACAATAGATTTCACCCTGGGCCTCCTCTCCACAGCAGGGATAGACAGCCAAGGTTGGGAGGGTGGTCTCAGACACTGCTGAGGTGAGAGGGCCTGAACTTTCTGGGCCAGAGTTTCCTCATCTGTAAAATGGGAAGAATGATAAGTGCTCCATTGTCATGAGGACCCAGTGAGAGGTCATATACAGAGGTGTTTTGAATACAGGAAAAGCACTACGGAGATGTGTAGGGGATGACCTTTTACTGAGGCTCTGGAAGCCTCATGCAAGCCTTGGGCTGAAACCACATGGGCAACATGAAGTCACCTCCCACGGGGCAGACAAGGCTTAACAAGGGCAGGTGGCTGGGTCACTTCCCAGATCACTGGAGGTGGAAGGAGACACCTGGCCTCTAGTGTTTCCATGGGAACCTCTGTGGGGTTTCAGAAGCAGGGAGGGACCACCTGGACGGGCAGAGGAGAAGATGAGGCCATGAGCCAGTGAGGGCCTGGTGCTGACCACAGGAGATCACAGCACCTGAGCAGCAATGCAGGTTCAACAACCAGGTCCTGTGGGCCTGGGGTCCCCTCCCCGGTGTCTGGCGAGCCCCTCTCCCACTCCTCCTCTCTCAGCAGGCATGCGGCCTCTTGCCAGTCACATAGGAGGAATGCTGAGCCTCTGTCCAGCAGGGAGAAGTTACAGGAAGCTCTGTGTATGTGTGTGTGTGTGGGGGGGGTGGGGGGGTGGGGAAGGGCAAGGGAGTGCTAGGAGTGACCAGGGGCAGAGAGGGGAAAGGAAACCTGCTTCCTGAAGGGCTGGCACCTCCGGGGCTAGCAACCCAGGCCTGCTCTCGGAATGGAGGACACTAGACTAAGAGGGGAGGGGAGGGGAAAGGTCCTGGGCCTCTGGCAGCCTGAGAGCCCAGCCCCTCTACTGCCCCTGCCCTGTGCTGTCTGGTTGGTGTCGAGTGCAGCGTCTCCTAAGGACCACATCTATTCCTCTGGCTATTCTATGCTAGTGACACAAGCACCGTTATTTTTCACAGGATGCACAAACAAGTCAAACCAAACTACTGCGCAAACCAAACGTGCAAAACAAAACCATTTACACGCGCCTGGCACCAGCCTTGAGCCCCGCCCAGCTACCCTTCTGGGCCTGTGACCCCCCCAAGGGTCTGGGCAGGGCACGGGAAAAGCTGGCAAGGGGCACTGGTGTCTCAGCCAACCCCATCCCTACCCCCACACAGGGCCAGAGGTGGGTTGGGGGAGATGGGATGTCCTGGGCATGGCTGGGAAGCTGACACCTGTCTGACTTGGGAAATGTCACCAAGGGGCTTAGGGGGTGGGGGAGGAGGCCTTTGCTTTGAAACCACATCTGCTAAAGTGCTCTGGACAACTGGCCAGTCAGCCAGGGGGCAGGGCACTAAAGTCTGGGCTTTCCCGAAGCCAGCAGAGGCAGGAGTGAGAGGAAGGGCTGGCCAGGGCTCTATGCATTGGGCTCTGTGCATAGTGTGGGCTTCCTGGGCCCCAGAAAAGCCCGCCGAGGCCGAGGCAGGAAAGGACTACAGCAGGAGGAACACATCTCAAAGTGCCTGTTAGTTGGCTCGAAGCACAGTGAATCACTTTGCAGACATAGGGACGGCCCCGTGGGTCCTGGGGCCCCCCTCGGGTGGTATGCTGCCCAGCCCAGCCTCTCCTGCCCCTGCAGCTGTGGCCGGAGAGTTTCGGGCTGGTGGTGGCGGTGCGTCCTCACTTGGGGGGCTGGGCAGTGCCTTTACCAAATGCCACTCGACCTGCCTCCAGGGGGAGCGAGGATCCGAGCCGAAGCTCGCTTTGGAACATGGTCATCGATCTGAGAGCCTGAAGGGAAGGAAACATAGTGGTGAGCTGGGCTCTCATGCCTGCTAACAAACCAGCCACCCTCTCCTGGAGGCCCACTGTGTGCAGGGCCTGAGTGAATCCTCTTGGCCGCTCCATCCCATTTCACAGACAAGGAGAACAAGTCTCAGGGAAGTTAAGTGACTTGCCCTGCATTGCACAGTGTGTAAGTGGCAGAGCCTGGACTTGGACCCAGGTTTTCTTAGTTCAGAACCAACATTATTAACTGTCCACTGTGCCAGCTTCACTGCCCCAAGCCTGGACACAGTCTCTCATGCTTGCAGGCTGTCGGCCAGCCTGTTGGCACTTGGGCCTTTGCACATATGCCTCAGTGAGTAAGCGATAGAGAAAAAGGAGGGTATGCCATTGTTTTGGAAAATGAAAGAACCATACCCCAAAGGCCCCGCATCTTGAAATCCCACGACTTAGTTACAAAGGGAGGGTCTATACAGAAGGAGCAGGATTGAACACACACACACACACACACACACACACACACACACACACGGGAGGATCTAGTGCCCCAGAGAGCACAGTGGGCCATTATTCAGCCTGTCCCACCTAGAACAGACAAGATTTGGGGTGGAGGTGAGGGGCAGGCTGCCTAATGTTTGCAGTCTGAGCGGGGATTCTGCCTAGTCTTCGCTCTTGGGTGGAAGGAGAGGAGGCCGATGGTCAGCAGGGGCCCCGCAGTTCTGGGGTCTGGCTTCCCTTTGTGGGTCTGGCTACAGCAGGAAGGACCTTGCCCTGGCAGTGATAGGAGTATCTACCCCTCTGGGACTGGCAAGACCTGAGGGCGCATAAGCAAGTCTTCCACGCCAGAGTCCCTTTCTGACACCATCACTGGTGGGAGTGGCAGTGACCCTCAGGGTAGTGGAGACGTCATATCAGCAATGAGACTGGTCCTGAGAGAGGACCCCTCCCCCTGGGCTACCAGCACCTCCAACAAGGACCTCATCTCTTCTGCCACATTGGCATCCCTCTGGTTTAGCCCTCTGCTCTCGCAGCAGGATGTTTTGTGTATGGGGCTTGTCTCCCGAGTAAACTCCAGGCTCTGGTGGAAGGACTTGGGTCTTGCACCTCTTGTTGTGCCCACCCCAGCACAGCCCTTACAGAGTGGATGCTTGGTCTCTCTCTGGCCTTGTCCTGAAGGCAGCTCAGCTGTGCTCAGGGAGACTCAGGGTCCTGGCCCCTTGCATCTTATAGACTGCTTGTTCTCCACTGGCGGTCATCATTTATGAGCCCGTGGCTTGCATGGCGGTGGGAGGGGTGGGAACTGCCGTGCTTTTAAGAACTGGGATTGGACCCCCAAAGGAACCCAGAGATTCCACAGGACTGGGGCCAGGACCCAGGGGATAGAGAGATAAGAGAAAAAATTGGGTATCAGAAGTCAAGAGATAAAATACATTACTTAATAAAATATATACAATACAATTCTTGGTTAAAAAAAAAAGGTGGGGCCGGGCGCGGTGGCTCAAGCCTGTAATCCCAGCACTTTGGGAGGCCGAGGCAGGTGGATCACAAGGTCAAGAGATCGAGACCATCCTGGTCAACATGGTGAAACCCCGTCTCTACTAAAAATACAAAAATTAGCTGGGCATGGTGGCGTATACCTGTAATCCCAGCTACTCAGGAGGCTGAGGCGGGAGAATTGCCTGAACCCAGGAGGTGGAGGTTGCAGTGAGCCCAGATCGTGCCATTGCACTCCAGCCTGGGTAACAAGAGCAAAACCCCGTCTCAAAAAAAAAAAAAAAAAAAGGTGAAGGTGGGGTGAATGAAGGCAGGGACAGGTGAGGGTAGGTCACAGGAGGAAAGGAGGTAGCAGAAGGAGCAGAGAGGCTGCTGAGGAGTGGGCTGGGGTGGGTGAGGGGACAGTGGGTGCAGTACCATGAACCACAGACAGGGCCGACTCTGCTGAGCTCTGGGCAACTCTGGAGCACCCACTGTGTGCACAGCCCTCAAGATGTTTCAAGGGACAAAAATATCTTAAGAACCCCCAGGAGAGTCCCAGGTTAGAGCAGCTGTGCCCAGGGACCAGGACAGCACTCCTATCTCCATTAACATCTGTGTGAGTCTAATATCCAACCAGCACATCCCTGGAAACAGGTGATGGGAGGGAGAAGAGGACACAAAAGAAAAGCAGGTGTAAGTCCCACTGCCTGGGTGGGCTCCTCCCGGCCCCCTGACTCTTACCAGAGAGGCTGAAGCTGGATTCATGGAGGTCCCGCATGCCCCCATGCCGGGTGACGGGCCGGGTAGGAGTGTCTGCGAGTGGGGTTCCCATCTCTTTCTTCCCAGGGTGCACAACAACAGCAACATCCCCCAGGTAGGGAGTACGGTCCACTCCTCTAACCTTTAAAGTCTGGGAAGGATGGAAGAAGAGCAAAAGGAACAGGACACCACCATCAGAGCTGAGTGATACAACCATGGCCTTCCTTGGGGCCCGCGGGACATTAGACACTGCCATTCTGCCCAAGACCCAAATCACTGCAAGTGACCAAGGCTCCTTACACCTTGAGTCCAGGGGCTGGGGAATTCTTTTCCTGTTCCTCCTAAAGAACACATGCATATGTGTACATGTGGGCATGTATGTGAGTGCACATGTGTGTGTGTGCATGCATGTGTACAGGAGAGATATTGGCTCCCCCAACACTGGTGGAAGCCTTAACAAGGTAGCAGGTAGACGTCTGAGGAAGTCAACTTTGGAGAGCGCCCTCTTACACAGCACAACTCTTTCCCCACCTGAGGCTCTCATGAAGCCACACCCTTTATGGCTCTGACAACTCTGAGGGAACAGAGGCTAAACAGAGCCCATCTGGAGATGAGAGGCCCCCAGCAGCAATACTAGCTCATTCCACACGCACAAAGGCAGTAGAGTTAGGAGCTGACGTTCTACGACCAGACTGTCTAGGTTCCAATCCCAACTTCGTCACTTGTAAACTGTGTGGCAGTGTGCAAGTTACTTAACTTTTCTGTGCCCACAATACTGGCACCTACATCAGAGAGTTGCAGGAGAGCAGAGGAATTCATATGTGTAAAGCTGTTCGAACTGTGCTGGCACACAAGAGGCAACACAGAAGTCAGAGCAGTTATTACTGCAGAGGTCATTTATGGTCCTACATCGTGTTAAAAAGTGCTATTGGGCCAGGCGCAGTGGCTCACACCTGCAATCCCAGCACTTTAGGAGGCCAAGGCAGGTGGATCCCTTGAGCCCAGGAATTTGAGAGCAACCTGGACAGCACAGTTAAACCCCAACCGTCTCTACAAAACAATAAACATTAGCTGCCTGTGATGAGTAAGAGACCCTGAGTTCGCGTTTAGATTTAGCCCTGTGATCACGGAAGTCATGCTTTCTTCATTCAGGCAGACTATGCCTGTGCCCCATGGCAGACCTGGGAGGGGATTTCTTCACTTGTCGGCCTCTGGGAGCGAAGGATTCTTGGTTTCTCTGAAAGCTCTGAGCCCTCTTGTGCGGCCCGTGTGCCAGCAGTGTGGGGATCCTGTGTTCAGGTACTTGCTCCTCCTTTGCCTCAGACAATGCTTTGCAAATATGCCAGCTCCATTCCCCCTTGCTTCATCAAGACTGGGAGGGAGCCAGGCCAAAGCAGTATCTCTAGCCCCCAGCACCCCCAACTCCAAGCCTGCGTATCCGGAGGAGCTCTGTGGTCGAACACGCTCACATTTCGTGCTTGTGTCCTCTGCAACTCAGGACCCCTGCTGCCTGACCACTTAAAATGCCACCTGGTAATCAAAGACGGGGACTAGAAACCAGTATTTTCTGTCTCTAGCGTTCCCCTAGCACTACCACACACTCCCCTCTCAACGCTAGAGAGAGGGCAACAGAATTGAGTAGAGAACTGGAGAAAATCTCTTTGAGATTTAAAACAGTCATGGAGGATGTTCCCCGGTAGGGGGCGCCAACCCCCCTCCCCACCTCCGCATCGTCCCCGTCCCGCCTCACCTTCTCTCTCTGGACCAGTTTCTTGTAGACAGTGTCTGGGAAGGACCTCAGGGGACAGAACTTGCCGGTGCCCTCGGCGCACATGAAGACGCCGTTCTCGTACACGACACGCCCCCGGCTGATAGTGACCAGCGGCACGCCATGGCAGCGCATGTTCTCGTACAGGTTGAAGTCTCCTCCCTGGACCTGCGTGCTGGCTGAGATGGTCCTGGTGGGGAGGCAATGGCAGGAGAGAGAGCGCTGAGGACAGGTCAAAATGTCACGGCTCCCTGGGAGGGGTGAGCCCCAAAGGCTGATTGGCTGAGCTGAATTGGCTCCCTTCAAAATTCTTCTGCCGAAGTCCTTACCCCCAGAACTTCAGAACATGACCCAATTTAGGGTCTTTAATGTGATCTTAATGATAAAGTGAGGTCATATAGGTGGGCCCCAATCCAACCTCACCGGTGTCCTTATAAGAAGAGGAGACAGGCCGGGCGCAGTGGCTCATGCCTGTAAGCACTTTGGGAGGCCAAGGCGGGGGTGGGGGGGGATTATCTGAGGTCAGGAGTTCAAGACCAGCCTGGCCAACATGGTGAAACCCCATCTCTACAAAAATTACAAAATACAAAAATTAGCTGGGCATGATGGTGGCTGCTTGTAATCCCAGCTACTTGGGAGGCTGGGGTGGAAGAACTGCTTGAACCCGGGAGGCAGAGGCTACAGTAAGCTGAGGTCATGCCATTGCACTCCTGCCTAGGCAACAGAAAGACTCTATCTCAGAAAAAAAGAAAAAAAAAAGAGGAGACAGACACACCAGACATGTGGGAGACAGACACACCAGACATGTGTGACACAGAAGAAAGACCGTGTGAAGATGGAGGGAGAAGATGGCCAACTGTAAGCCAGGGCCATATTTTGTTCTAGAAATAGTGCAAAATTATATGCTTTTGGAGATCTGAAGTTCTCTTCAAAATCCCGAGTCCCTCTAGCCCTGGAGATGAGTAACAAACTTTACTTTGTGGCTTCTGGGTCCCACACCACCACGTCGGCATCGGCTCCAGGGATGATGCGGCCCTTGCGGGGATATAGGTTCAGAAGCTTAGCTGCGTTGGAGCTGGTAACAGCCACAAAACGGTTCTCGTCCATCTTTCCTCCAACCTGAAATGTTGCAGAAAGTGTCAAGTCAACCAGGCTCTGGGGCTGGGCCTCAAACCCTTGGTCACCTTTGATGCTGGCCTGTGGACTTTGGGATTAGGTGGTCAGGATAATGGTCATAAGGGGACAAGGCCATGAGTGCCATCTTAGATGAGCCAGTCTGTGTGGCTGGGGTCCAGGTGCTCACTTATTCCTTTCTCCTTTCATCCAGCAACTTTGGTGAGTGGCCCTGGTTCCATCCAGGCTGCCTGCCTGGGGCAAATCTACCTCCTGTTTGTAAAACTAGCTCTGCTCATGTGCCCACACAGAGGAGTCAGGAGCCTCCCTTCATCTACTAAGGGTTATATTTTCAAAGGGTTATACATGCTCTAGAAAAACATCTTATTGCCCCACCCATGAGAGTACTATGGACTCTCTTCAGGGGGATTTCCTGAGCCATCTTCCTGGCCTTCCATGAGCTTAGTCTTGAGGACTTCAAATCTCTTTGGGGCTCATACTATTTTGAATCTAATCTGAGATAGATCAAGACCAAAAATACTTATTCTTCACGTGCAGAACAGGTGGTATTCAAATGAAATCCCAGTTCTTATCCTTTTTGAAAGCAATTAGACAAAATATATCAAATCAAGAGCCTTAAAAATGTTCATATCCTTTGGCCTAAAAATCCACTTCTAGGAAGGTGTCTTAAGAAAATAATCAGAGGCCGGGCGCGGTGGCTCAAGCCTGTAATCCCAGCACTTTGGGAGGCTGAGGTGGGTGGATCATGAGGTCAAGAGATCGAGACCATCCTGGTCAACATGGTGAGACCCCGTCTCTACTAAAAATACAAAAAATTAGCTGGGCGTGGTGGCGCGTGCCTGTAATCCCAGCTACTCGGGAGGCTGAGGCAGGAGAATTGCCTGAACCCAGGAGGCAGAGGTTGCGGTGAGCCGAGATTGCGCCATTGCACTCCAGCCTGGGTCACAAGAGCAAAACTCCATCTCAAAAAAAAAAAAAAAAAAAAAGAATCAGAAATGCTGACATACGCTTATGAACAAAGAGGTTCTCCACAGCATTATTTGTAAGTGCAAAGATTAGAAACAGTCGAAAGCCCCAAACATTAGGGAAAGATTAATGTATGGTACATATGGTACTTTCATTGGAGAAAATATTATTCAACCAAGAAAAAAGATGTTTTTAAAGAATTTTTACTGATATAGAGAGATACTCAGGGTATACTGTTATATGAAGAAAAAAAAATTCTGGTTAGTATAGTCATTGGTGAAAGAAAAAAATATGAAGCCAGTTATTAAAATAATGTGTATCTGGGTGTGGTGGCTCACACCTATAATTGAAACACTTCTGGAGGCAGAGGTGGAAAGATAGCTTGAGCCCAGGAGTTCAAGACCTGCCTGAGCAACAGAGCAAAAAAGGAAATAAAATAATGTATAGTACATGCACAGAACTAGAAATACACTAAAATGTTAACAGTAGTTTAATTTCTAGGCCTGGAATTAAGGGGGTTTTTTCCCTTATACTTTTCTGTATTTTCGAAATTTCCATAATAGGTCTTATTACCTTTCTAATTGGGAGAAAGACCTTTTGTGTTTTGTTTTTGAGTGAAACATACACCTGGGATTGAACTAGCCCTTCTAAGAACATTCTTTGACAGGATCTGAGGAGCGAAAACTCTTATTAGGATTAGAGTGGGGATGAAGCGGAGATTAGAGCGGGGATCAGGGCAGGGCGGGGCTCTAGGAAACATACCACTCCTCTCTCCCAGATGACACTCATGCGGTCCTGCACACCACTCACTCCATGTGGGATCTTGGTGAAGTCTTCCTTGCCCATAGCTTTCTGCTTTGTGGTGAAAGGCCGGTGATCTGATGCCACAATGTTCAGAGTGTCACTGGGTAGAGAAAAGGAGGTGACCAGTAAGGGGAGGGGAGGTGAAGACCCTAGAGGGTGGGGATAGATACAGGGAAAATCCTCAGCATGGGAACCAGGCAAAGCTGACTCCAATTTCAGCTCTGCTGCTCAGGCCACGTCACCTCTCATCAATTACTTCATCTATGTGAACCTCAGTTGACTCATCTACAGGATGAGTGTGGCACAGCCTGTCTGTGTCACAGGAGACTTCAGTGAGAACCTTGGGATGGCAAGGTTTAAGAGCTAAGATAGTGAGCAGAGAAAAGCTGAACTCAGAGTTTAGCTGAAGTGAGATGCTAGAGGTGGTTTTACTATCATGGAATTGTATGCCAGTTCCCCCTCGTCAGCTCTCCAACCCCCACCTGCTGGCAACAAGCATTCAAAAGTTCAATGTTAAGCTTTGCTGAAAAACTTGGACTCACAGTCTTCCTTGGATGTGGGGATTCTAATGGCACAGAAGGGAAGGAGGGATGAGGTAGAAGTCTGACTTAATAGACTGAGAGTGCAATGCAAGTCAACCAGCTCTTCCCCAGTGCCGTTCAAGACTACAGCAGAAACATATTAAGGCGGTCCTCAGGCCAGGTGCTCACCCCTATAATCCCAGCACTTTGGGAGGCTGAGGCGGGTGGATCATGGGAGGCCAGGAGTTCGAGACCAGCCTGGGTAACATGGTGAAACCCCGTCTCACCTTAGCCTCTGGAGTAGCTGGGATTACAGGCACCTGCCATACGCCTGGCCAAATACAAAGAAATTACAGGCAGGTGCCTGTAATCCCAGCTACTCCAGAGGCTAAGGTGAGAAAATCACTTGAAGGGGAGGTGGAGGCTGCAGTGAGCCAAGACTGCACCACTGTACTCCAGCCTAGGCAACAGAGGGAGACTCTGAAAAGAAGAAAAAAAGCATCTTCCATTCAAGGCTGTGGGCAGCTCAGGCACAGGCAGGCTCTCGAGGGGCTCCCGGGCCAGAGAAGACTCAGGGAAGAACAGGGAGAGGGCTCATGGCAGTAGATCCTCTGCCTGATAAGCAAGGCAGGCAGCCGGCTCCAATTCAGAGAGCTCTGCAGGCCAAGGACTCAGAGGCAGTGAGGGGCAGAAGACAGAGAATGCCCACCCAAGCCAGGCCAGGCCAATCTCAGGAGGAAATGCCCTTGTGGGGCAGGGAAGGCCTGCTGGGAATGGGGGTCAGGAGGGAAAGGGGGATGACTGCTGGGATCACACTGCGGGGGCCCTGAAGGTCAGAAGCAAGGGTCCCATTGTTTTCTGTAGGAGGCCCCAGAGCCTGGTAAGTGCCCATGCACCATCTAAGAAGACTCTGGGGGCAGAACGAGTTGTCTGACTTGGTGAGGAAGCATATTCTTTTTTCTTTTTTTTTGAGACAGAGTCTTGTTCTGTTGCTCAGGCTGGAGTGGAGTGGCATGATCTCAACTCACTGCAACCTCCGCCTCCCGGGTTCAAGTGATTCTCCTGCCTCAGCCTCCTGAGTAGCTGGGATTATAGGTGTGCACCACCACACCTGGATAATTTTTGTATTTTTAGTAAAGACGGAGTTTCACCATATTGGCCAGGCTGGTATTGAGCTCCTGACCTTGTGATCTACCTGCCTTAGTCTCCCAAAGTGCTAGGATTACAGGTGTGAGCCACCACGCCTGGCCAGGAAGCATATTCTTAAGGCTCTCAGACGATGGCCAGTCAGCTGCATAGGGCTGTTACCACAGGGGACCTGGCAGGGCTCATCAGTCTCAGCTCCTGCCAAATGACTAATGTGTTTGACCAAACTCGAGGTGAAGATGCCTTGGCTCTTTCTGTGCTGTGCAGTCAGCTGGGCCTTCCTTGGGCCAAGGAGGCTGCTCTGGCCCTTGCAGAGACTCTTTGCAAGAGACTCTCCTGCAGAACCCTGAGGCTTCCCACACTCTCTGGCCCTGCAGAAACCCCCACAGTTAAATGGAATCTTTAGGGTTTCCTTTCTCCTGAGAGGCCCTCTGGATACCTGAGCAGGGCTCAGGGAAGAAGATGCACGTTGCAGTCATGGAGGGCAGGTCAGGGACCCTGAGAGCAACAGGCTCATCAACTCCTACTCTTCAACCAGCTCAAGTCTTCCTGAGCACCCAGCTTTCTGAAAAGGTGCCTACACAAAGGTGCCCACTAAGCAGCTGTGAATGGTGGTAGTGACATTCTAGGAGGCCCTCTGAGCTCTCTCAGCACTGCCCTGAATCTGAGAGATAGGAAGCCCCGATTCAAACCATTTACAGTTTAAAACATGACTGGCTTTGCAAGTACTTTAAAATTTTATATGATCAAATGAAAAAATTTCTGGTCCCTTTAAGAAGCCAGAATTTAGGCCAGGAGCAGTGGCTCATGCCTGTAATTCCAGAACTTTGGGAGGCCGAGGTGGGTAGATCAGTTGAGGTCAGGAGTTTAACCTGGGCAACATGATGAAAAAAATACAAAAAATACAAAAATTAGGCTGGGTGCAGTGTGGCTCATGTCTGTAATCTCAGCACTTTGGGATGCTGTACTCCAGCCTGGGGGACAGAGTGAGACCCTGTCTCAAAGAATAAACAAACAAAACACTAGCCGGGCATGGTGATGCACACCTGTAGTCCCAGCTACTCAGGAGGCTGAGGTGGGAGATTGTACCACTGCATTCTAGCCTGGGTGACAGAGCCAGAGCCTGTCTGGAAAAAAAAAAAAAAAAAAAAAAAAAAGCAGCCTGGTTTTAAATAAAGAATAAGTCATTCCATCTATAGATTGGACTTTTTATTCCCATATAGCCTGACAAATCACAAATCACATCCTAAATAAATAATTATGAAGCAGCTCATATTTTCTTATGGGAATGCTAATTGGTATCTGGGTTTTCTATCAAGTATTTTGCATCATATAAGTTATAACCAATGATGTGTTACAAAAGTGAAATTATAGTCATCATAAATTTCTATCAATAATTAAAATATTAAAATTGTGCCCCAAATCCTATAAAGCAAAACTCATTTACAATATGCACTGATTAAAAAGGGATTCAGACTATTCTCACAACATATAAAACAACATTTCTACTTAAATAAATAGAATTAATTTAAATAATTAAAATACATTTGACAAAGTAGGCTAGATATAAAAACTTAAATTATTCAATGATACTTACTCCCCCAGTCTGTTTGAATTTGTATGGGTTTGGGTGCTGCAATTTGGGTGAGTTGAGGCACTTATTATCGTTTTTGTTCTTTCAGTAAATTTGCTTGTAGCAAGCAGGGGTGTTTTAAAAGACTCTTGACCTTGGAGCCAAGCCGATATTATTATAGTGGATTCTTGGTAATTGTTTTATTGTATTGCAGATGATGAAAAGGAGGCTGATTCTTCTCAAAACAAGCATTTCTTTTTTGTGCTTTTGTTGTACATGCTGTAATACAGTGGCATGATCTCAGCTCACTACAGCCTCCGCTCCCCGGTTCAAGCGATTCTCCTGCTTCAGCCTCCTGAGTAACTGGGATTACAGACTTGAGCCACCCCGCTACACCCAGCTAATTTTTCTAGTTTTAGTAGAGACGGGGTTTCTCCATGTTGGCCAGGCTGGTCTTGAGCTCCTGACCTCAGGTAATATACCCGCCTCAGCCTCCCAAAGTGCTGGGATTTTAGGTGTGAGCCACCACGCCCAACAGCATTTTTTAAGAGTAAGCTGATCTAGCATTTCTCTCTTCATCTTTACCCTCCAAACTGATTTACATCTGTAAGAGCTGCTGTGCCTGGCACCCACCAAAGCTATGGGACAAAATATAATGACCGTCCCCATGCCGTGGTGCATACTGCCCTCTGCAGAGGCCACCTTCGCCTATGCCCTATTGATGGCACTCCACTCACATTGGCAAAGCCCTGCACCCCCCACCTCTCTTTAGGTTGTGAACATAACGGGATGGGAGTTTTCCAGTGGTTGGCAACCAGGACTGAAAGCTAAGGACATGGATGAGACAAGCACCTTATTATCTAAGAGAGCCACTTTCAGTGGGGCCAGTCGCTACCCTCCACTGTCCCTGCACCGCCCTAGAAGAGGCGTATCCCCACCCTCAAGGTCTAGAAAGTGGCTCGGAGGGAGACTGAGAGGCTGGCAGGATGCAGAGTCATGGCTTTCCCTCCTCTCCTCCTGCCTGGGTTGAGTGGGGCTTCCATACCCTCTCTCCATCAGTCCACCCCAAAGACAAGGAGGGCATATTTCAAGAGGTTCATTTGTGGAGAGCAGAGCTGAGAACAGTGGGTACCTGCTTGGGCTGTGAGCTGTGGACCCGCCTCTAAGCCTCTGGGTTGGGGACAGCCTGCCCTTCCACCATAGGGAGCAAAAAGGCCGTGTGGGCTTCCTCTGGGCCCCAGACACTGTAGAAAGTGGCCAGGCTTAAGTTGACTTGTGGGGGTCCTCATTCACAGAGGCACTGCTAGTGCTGCAAGCTGGGAGAGATGTATGCTTGGGCATAGAGAAGAATCCCATCACCTTCTGTCCTAATCCTCTTACCCCAACCGAAGCTGAACTGGGGATCTGGAGGGGAGGAGATGAGTCTTAAACTGGATGGAACTTTAATATCCAAAAGTGAAGAGGAAGCAACATCTTCTCCCCAATTTTTTTTTTTTTTGAGATGGAGTCTTGGACAGGCTGGAATGCAGTAGCAAGATCTCGGCTCACTACAACCTCCACCTCCTGCGTTCAAGAGATTCTCCTGCCTCAGCCTCCCAAGTAGATGATGGAATTACAGGTGCACATTACCACACCCGGCAAATTTTTTGTATTTTTAGTAGAGACGAGGTTTCACCACGTTGGCCAGGCTGGTCTTGAACTCCTGACCTCAAGTGATCCATCCACCTCGGCCTTCCACCTCGGCCTTCAAGTGCTGGGATTACCGGCATGAACCACTGCACCCAGCCCCCAAAATATTAATAGGAGAGAGACAGAAGCTGCAAGCAGTTATTGGGATAAAACAAAACCCTTTCATGATTGAGTCCTACTGAATTCAGACTGTTCATCAAACCATTTCCTTTAGATTGGGATTGAATGGGAAAAAGCAGTGTCAGAAAGAGAAGAGCTGGAAAAAGGAGACTGGAGGGAGGGTGTTGGTGGCGGGGGGAAGGGGGAGAAAGTGCAGAAGAAAAAGGGAAAGGGGAAGAAAGGAGGGAGAAACCCACAGAAGGAGGGATGTACAGACAAGGAGCACACGGGAGCCAATGAGAAGAGGGAGAGGTGAAGAAAAGAGACAGAAAGAATTCCTACATTCTAGGGTAAGTCACAGGCTACATTCTGCAGCTCCCCACTGGGATTTAGAGTAGAGATCAATGTCCTTTGAGATTCGGAATAACCACTGTTCACAGTTCTATATGTGCTCTTCACTCTTACACTTCAGAAGCTCTCACTCCACATCAAGCAGTCATAAAATCCCAATAGGATGGCAATTATCTGACGGGCTTGGAGAAGGTAAGAAAAGCACAATCATCCTATGGGCACGGTGAAATCAAACCTAGTTCAGATTTGTTTCCTGGAGCCTCTATGATGTCTCCCTAAAGATGTACACATCCTGCAATGTGCTGCTGAAATGCCTTACTTGGCCAGCAGGCTCATGAGGTAGGTGGAGGTGTTGGTGTCCAGTCTCAGGGGAGGCACCGTGACGTAGGCGGCCGCGTGGGACCAGTCCTGGTGGTAGTAGTGTAAGCCTGTCAGCGTGGCATGTGCGGTGGTGGTCTCTGCCAGCACAACCTTCCCTGGAAGAAGAAAGGTCAGAACCATCACCAGGAAGCCACTGAACCCAAGCAACCGCTGGGTGCGCCTCTCATTTTACAGGTGAAGGAGCTGAGGTCAAAGACAGGAACAGACCTACCCAAGCTCAAAGGGCTTTTGAGAGCAGAGCTGGGTGAAAGCCCAGAGAGCTTCCCTATTCTCCTGCTGACCTAGGCAAGGAAGACAGAGGGACATGGGCACTGAGGCCTGGCAGCACCAAATGGCATGTTGAGGAGTCCGGTTTGCCGAGAGCACCACTGTGTGCAGGATGCTGTTGGCAGATGGAGCTTGACATGGGTGAACAGTCATGCAGGGCTGCAAAGGCCATGCTAAGGAGCAGTCTAGACTATTTTCTGGACAGGTGGGGTGCTGTGAGCAGCTTCAAGAGAATGATTTGGGGTAGGCTCCATAGTAGGGCTGGAGGACAGGGAGACAGGAGGTGGGAGTACAGTCACCAGGCTAGGACGACCATCTAGGTGAGACCCTCCAAGGAGCTTCAGATGAGGGGAGAGGCAGGCGGTGGGATCTAGAGCATGAATCAGTCGAAGGCTGGGATGCCCTTGCTTCTAATCTAAATCCCCAGGTCTGTGACTGTGACTTAGTTTCTCCTGCTGCCAGGCCCTCACTAGCACCTGCTGCTGCCAGGCCCTCACTAGCACCAAACATCTGCAAGCCTTTAGGTACTGTCAGGCAATCCGCAACAGAAGCCATACGAATGCCCCTTGAGGCTCATACACAGGGTTCCGGGAGGCTAGAAAGGGAAGCTGGGCCCACACACTGTTCTTTCTTTAGGGACTTCCCAAACACCTCCTGAAATGCCTCTGAAACTGGTCCAGGATTTTGTTAGTTGCCAAGGCAACGGCTAGTAAAATCTATGAGGCCAAAAAGACACTAATTAATGAGTGGGTTTAAAACTTGGAAAATTTTACCAGACCCAGGAGAAGTGACAGACACTTCCGCAAAGCTGTTATGCATACAAATTTGCACAAGAAAAAGCTCACGTTCTAGTGGACTAAAGCCAGGCTAGTGCAGGGCAGCTCTGAGGAAGCCAGTGGCAGATGAAAGCGAAAGGCTGGCTCAGGTCCTGGTCTCAGGAGCCAGGGCCAGGAGTGCACATGGCTGATGGGCCCTGTCCGTCTCCAGTCCCTCCACATGACTTGCTCCACCCAGCCAAGCCTACGGACTCACCTTGCATCTTAGCAGCTGCGATAACATCACCAGCCGAGATGCTGGACACGTTGACCAGGTAGATCGGACAGTGAGTCTAAACACAAGAAACAGTGGGAAGTAGGGAGGGAGGGTTGACCCATAAATTTTACAAGCATCAGAATAACCCCGGCAAAGTCAGTCCTGGCACAAGCACCTCCCCCTGCGTCACTAAGCCCACCCTCAAGGTGACAGTCCCTAAGTGGGGAATGCAGGGCACAGCTGCAGGAACTGCATGATGGTGGTGAGGAGGGGGCAGAGAACAGCCTCCAGCACCAGAGCCCACCAGGAAGCCCAGCCTGTGAAGTTCAAGACCATCAAGTCTGAACCTCACATTTTCTCCCATCTGACAACCATGACTGCAATTTAAGAGCGGGGCTCTTTTTCATATTTTAATTTCCTGTTCATAAACGTGATGATCTAGAGTTAGTTGTGTACTCTATCTAAAATTATGATGCCTTCTGACTGAAGGCTGCTTATCAGTAGACAGAATGCACCGTGGAGATGAAGAAAATACAGGAGGGTGAGGGTTGAGAGTCTGGGCAAGAGAAGGCTGATCTCGCGAACAGACACCTGGACTGTAATACTGGTTAGCTTTTTCTCTACTAAGCTGTACAACCACAGTCCACAGCTTAACTTCTCTGAGTGCATGCTTGAGCTAAAAGGCAAGAAACTGCCTTGTTGTTGTTCAGGTCTTTCCTTATTCAGCGGTGAGTTCCATCAGGAAGTAATTGATAAAATAACTACTGTTATGACAATAAAACAATGTCCTTGTCCTGCTGCAAGAGCTCTAAAGTGCAATTGGGAAATTCTGTTTCCCCAGATGTTATTCTGATTCTCTTTGCTTATCACATTAGGAGGATGTAGAGTTTAGGAGCTGGCCTGAGTTTACATGTAAGCAATGAGCTGAGTGTCAGCAGGCTTGGTGGGGTGGAATGGAAAGCTGGTGGTGAGAAGGGTGAATGCAAGGATGGTAGGAATGACAGTGCTCAGTCAGCAAACAGTTCTGGGGTCCTGTGGGCCAGACATGGCGCTGGCTCCCAGAGCAGAATGGGGCTGCTCTGTAGACGTTGGTTTCTAATTCCAGAGTAGAAACTGGGCAACTTACCCTGTTTGCAATGGTGATAACACGATGAGTGGCTTCAGCTTCCAGCTGTTAGAAACAAAGGATGGGAGGAAACCACACTTCACCATCTCCTCCAAGCATACCCACACCACACCCCCCGCCCTTGTGGAGCAACTGCATCCACAGGGGCTGGCTCGGGGCAAAGCCCAGGCAGAGGCACCAAACTTCAACCACCTTGGCTCACAGTGAGGGAGAATCCTAGGTCTTAAAATACCAGGCCTGTCCTTGCTGGATGCTACTTGGGGCTTAATTAAAAGGTAAGGAAACAAAATTAAATAAACAAAAACCCAAGGTCACATCTCTTCCTGTTTTCTGGTGTATTATCTCCATAGCCACCTCACAACTGCAGCAAATAGTGGCTGATTTGACTCAGGAAATTAGTCTAGATCAGGGTTTCTGCACATGGTACCATTGGCATTTGAGTTGTATAATTCATAATTTTTTTTTTTTTGAGATAAGGTCTCACTCTGTCTCCCAGGCTGGAGTGCAGTCACATGATCACCGCCCACTGCAGCCTCCACCTCTAGGGCTCAAGCAATCCTCCCACCTCAGTCTCCCGAGTAGCTGGGACTACAGGCATCCACTACCATGTTTGGCTAATTGTAAAAATTTTTTGTAGAGATGGGGGGGGATCTTTCTTTATTGCCCAGGCTGGTCACAAACTCCCGGGCTCAAACAATCCTCCTGCCATATCCCCCCAGTGCTAGGATTACAGTTGTGAGCCACTGCACCCAGCCATGTTGCGTAATTTTTTATGGTCGGGGTGTCTGTGCATTGCAGAATGTTTAGCAGCATCCCTGGGCTCTACTAGATGCCAGTAGCCTTCCCCCTGGACCCCCAGGTTGGGACAAGCAAAAATATCTCTAGACATTGCCAAATGTCACCTGGGGAGCAACATCTTCCCTGGCGTAGGGACCCCCACAACCACCTTTAAGCAATAGATAATGGTAGTGATAATTATTGCTATTACGACCCCTACAGCCAAAGTCTTGCTCTTTCCCTTGAATTAAGTATCAAAGAAAGTCTAATGTGTGTGTGTCCACCCCCTACTCACTCCTATTCTCACAGGCACACCCTCCGTGTTTCCATCAAATCTGGTATGTGTTTCTCTACCAGTTCAGAAGTGACAAACAGGACCTATATTGAAGGGGTCTGAGAGACAGGCACAGATCAGGGCAGTGAGGGGGGACTCCTCAGGGGACACACTGTGGACCATCTTGGTTTCTGGGTAATGGTAGTACCACCATATCCTGTGTCCTGCTCCTTGTCCCTCAAGGCCCCCCCATCCAATCCCTCATGGATATCCAACCACCCACATGCATTGTAGGCTTTGAAGAAATAAGAAGTTTTTCCCCCTCCCCCAAAATAGTAGAGAATGTGTGAACAGGGTAATAGGGCAGGAAAGCGTTATTTATCGAATGTGGTCCCTCCAGAGCAGAATTCTTCAGCAGGGGGACTGTAGGGGATTTGTGTCAATACCATATAAAACTGAGTGCAGTTTTGCCAGAGGGCAGGAGGAAAACAGCTGTGAATGACCATCTCAGCAGGTAATTAGGGGCAGGAGCATGGACTTGTATGTTTCCGGTGGAAAGGGTCCAAAGTGGCAGTCCCCAACCTTTTTCGCACCAGGGACCGGTTTCATGGAAGACAATTTTTCCATGGACCAGGGTGGGGCAGGGGTGGCAAGGAGTAGGGAGGGATGGTTTCAGGATGAAACTGTTCCACCTCAGGGCCAGCGTGGTGGCTCATGTCTGTAATCCCAGCACTTCGGGAGGCCGAGGTGGGTGGATCACTTGAGGTCAGGAGTTCAAAACTAGCCTTACCAACATGGTGAAACCCCATCTCTATTAAAAAAACAAAATTAGCCAGTCGTGATGGTACATGCCTGTATAATTCCAGCTACTTGGGAGGCGGAGGCAGGAAAATCTCTTGAACCTGAGAGGTGGAGGTTGCAGTGAGTCGAGATCGTGACACTGCACTCCAGCCTGGGCAACAGATCATCAAGCATTAAATTCTCATTTAAGGAGCCTGCAAACTAGATCCCTCACATGCGCGGTTCACAATAGGCTTCACACTCTTATGAGAATCTAAGGCCACTGCTGGTCAGACAGGAGGCAGAGTTCAGCAGGGTCTCAGCTTGCCTGATGCTCACCTCCTGCTGTGCGGTCCTGTACCTTTTCATGACCCGAGGTTTGGGGGCCCCTGGTCCAAAGTATTCCTCAGATGCTCAAACGAATCTCATCCCCTAAAGGCAGAGTTTATAGTTTGAAATTTCTTTCTTTTTTTTTTTTGAGATGGAGTTTTGCTCTTATTGCCCAGGCTGGAGTGCAATGGTGTGATCTTGGCTCACCACAACCTCTGCCTCCTGGATGCAAGCAATTTTCCTGCCTCAGCCTCCCGAATAGCTGGGATTACAGGAATGTGCTACCGCACCCAGCTAATTTTTTGTAGTTTTAGTAGAGATGGGGTTTCTCCATGTTAGTCAGGCTGGTCTCAAACTCCAAACCTCAGGTGATCCGCCTGCCTTGGCCTCCCAAAGTGCTGGGATTACAGGCATGAGCCACCAAGCTCGGCCATAGTTTGAAATCTCTTCTAACACCCGAAGGCCTTTTCAGTCTGTCTTTTGTCTCTTGATTCAGTTTTGGGCACAGCAACCCCAGGTGTGCTGACATTGTCTACCCCAGATGCTTGAAATCAGAATCAAATGGGAATTTCACCGGTGGAGAAAATGATGCAACACACATACGCGCACACACACACGTATGTGTGTGTGTGTGTGTATACACTCTATCATCCAGGCTGGACTGCAGTGGCACCCTCACAGCTCACTGCAGCCTCAACCTCCTGGGCTCAGGTGATCCTCCTGCCTCAGCCTCCCGAGTAGTTAGCTGGGACTACAGCCATGCACCATCACACCCAGCTAATTTTTTTGTATTTTTAGTAGAGATGAGGTTTCACCATGTTGCTCAGGCTGGTCTTGAATTCCTGGGCTCAAGCCATCCACTCACCTCAGCATCCCAAAGTGTTGAGATTACAGACATGAGCCCTCATGCCCAGCTAATTTATATGCTTGATATCTCTTCCATCCTAAAAGATTCTGTCAATCTACATAAGAGATGCTGACAAAGACCACAGGGATTGTTTCTCACCTCCTCTGGACGGCTGATCTCGATTCCTTCTGGGCCTGTGATCCCCAAATCTAGTGCCTCCTTAGCACCCTGGATAACAGCAAGAGAAAGAAAATGGAGAGAATCAGAGATACCACATAAGAAAATACTGAACCCAAGGGACAGTGAAATATGCTAAATATAGCCTGTTTCAATAGGCTTGCTTCTTTTCTCACTTCTGTAACGTTCATCTTCTAAAGAAGGCAGAGCATGCACAGGCCCCCCCACACAGTGGGGCTCTCCTGATTCTCACTTCTTAATGACCGAACATACGTTGTTCTCTTAAAAATACAGTTAACTATTATAACTAGCAACAGGCCTGGACACCAAAGACAAGCACTCTTTCAAACTCAGAATTCCCTCTCTGGAAATTGAGACAAATCTCTAGCTTCTAGTAACTCCTAGGCTAGCCCTTACCCCAAGACCTAGGAGAGTGCACAGAGGCTCATCTTTCCTGGGGCCATGAGTAGATCTCTTTAATGTCTCAGATCCTCTGAAGAGGCCAAGTAGAAAGAGGATTCTTACTTATTCTGTATGTCAAATCTCATTAAAAATATGTCTGAGAGATGCTCCAAATTCTCTGCTATAATGAAATTTAAATCTCACATCATTAGAATTAAGACATCATCACCTAAGACTTAGAAGCCTTTCTGAACCATAAAAAGAGATTTTTTTTTTTTACAGACAGTAGTACAGTTTGGATATTCTGACCAAGATCTGACAGCTGGGGTGTCCACACCTCACACTTTTACAACTGATTTTGTCTGAATCCTATGGGATCAGAGATAGGTGGTCAGAAATCCCCTGAGGACTCTCTCCATTGGTGTCCCTCCATCCAACATCCTTGGCTTCAGACTTGCCTCGGCCACAAGCTCCCCGTTTTCAGCATGGACGCGGGCGATCGCCCCAATGTCCTTGCAAGCGTGCAACACTTGGTACAGCTCACTGTCTCGAAGCATGTACAGGTCCTTGTAGGTCATGAACATCTGGAACGAGTTGACACCCTTCTCCCTCACCAGTGTCTCCATTTCTGCTTTTACCTGGAGAGCAAGTGCAAAGGCAATGTTGCGTGAGGGCAGACACCCAAGAGGGGGACTGGTAGACGCCGGCCCGGCATGGGGGAGATGTGGGGCCTGCCCCAGCTCAGGCTGTCGGTCGGCCCCCTGCCCACCTCTGTGTCTCAGTTTCCTCCCACCCCACAGGCTGCTGTGAGGTCACCTGAGCAGATGGATGTGGAAGTACTGTGAAAATTGTCAACATGACACCATTTAGGAGCCACATTATGACCTTTATAGGCGTATTTCTCTCATCACCTAGGCCTGTCCTGTGTGTCTGTCTTCAAACCAGCCTTAATGGTAAACATAGAAATAATGATTTTGATTCCTGTGGCCTGTTCCCTGGCGTTACAAAGAAGGCATGCTAACACTAAAAATCCAGAGGCCCTGGGAAAACCAAATTGAGGAACAAAGTCAAACGTGAACAGAGTTATGAGAATTAGGATATTCCTAACAACATTATTTGTACTAGGAAAAACATGGAAGCAATATTGGCCTGACAACAGAAAAATAAGTTCGTTCATCCACTTGGTAGAATATTAAGTGGCCATTACATTGCTGGTCACGAAGACTTCCCAGCAAAATAGAAAATGCTAACACCTATGCAAAATAGTTATTCAGTGAAAGCATGGATGAAAAAAGATTGGAAAGAAAGAAGTTTAACAAAAGCAATCATGTTGGGGTTTTTGGATTATGTGCTTCTTTTCTATTTTTAACATCTATAGGAAGAAACATTTATTTGATTATTGTAAAACAGAATTTTAAACTCCTGATGCATGAAAGTCGCCATAAGCTCCAGGAAATTAGGGAGGGTTGGCCTGGCTTCTGTGCTGCTGGGAACCTGAGCAGACCCTCTATTCCAGGCCAGCTCCAGGGGAAGGGAGTGGCGTGGAGGTAGAGGCCCCTCACCCAGGAGGATGTCCAAAAAGAAGACCCCCATTTGAGATAAGAAATGGCTGACATTCAGCGTGATCTGTACCTCTGGCCCATACTGGAAGGAGGGGCCTTCATGCTCTGAAGGTTGGGGAGTTCCAAGGTCTCCTGTAAGTGCCAGGTCAGAAATAATGAAGAAACTAGGTGAGCCCCCAACTCAAGGCTAAGACCCGAGGGCAGAAATACAGTGAGGCTTTAGATTATCATCTCAGAAGGGTATTAGGCCCTTTACACCAGGGCCTGCAACTGAAGAACTTTGTAAAGCTTCTTTTTTTTTATGATTAAGGACAGAGTTTATTTGAGCTCAAAGCTTGAGGATGGCCACCTGGGAGCAGATTCAAGCCGCCCTGAATATACTCTGATTAGCAGCAGCTACAAGTAAGGAAAAATGAAGAGGCAGTTCCAAAGTTGGTAAAACTTACTAATGCTTGTTATTTTCATGATTCTGGGGCACTCACCAAAGTATTGGTACATGAGGCTTAGTAAGTAATTGATGAAAGAATGAATATCCAGACTGCTTCCCGGGGCAAATAAGCAGAAAAGCTCCAGAAACAAAGCCAAATTGAAATGCCCATAGATCAGGAAGAGCAAGGAAGTGGGAATCCGGAGAGAGGAGACGGACTCTGACCCTGGGGTCTGGGCAGGGGGAGAATAGGAAAGCCAGAAGCCAGGGCACAGACACAAAGGAGGCAGAGAGGCTGAAGTGAGAAGGGCTCAGGGGGTGCCAGCCTCAGTCACAGACCAGGACAGCCTCGATGTGTCTCAGAGCAGGAGCTGGGCCCCAGTAGGAAAAAAGCGTACCACCATCCATTCACTCCAGGCAGTACTGAGCCAGGATGGGAGCCTCAGTTCCGAGACCTCAGTGTAGTGCGGTTGACTCTCAGTACAAATGACATATGGGATATGACCCTCTGCACCTGAGCCCATGCTCAGGCTACTGCTCAGCAGCACTGCCCATGACCTGTCAGTGGCACTCCATGTTCACATGAGACACTAAGAGCCTCGTGGTCAGAGCGAGGAAACTGCACCAAGGCCTGGCCTCTGGCCTTGGCCTCCCTGTGCCTGCCGGAAAGCGGTTCATTAAGTTAGGCAGGACAGGCCCACCTGCTCCCCTTATGGAATCCTAAGTGTTTTCTTTTGGCATTGTGGGGAGCTAGGATGGTGGCGGGAGGGGTTCCCCACACAAGCAGGAAACACCGCACCCTAACTAGCCCCTCTACCTACAAGACCACTTGTGCCTTCTTCTGGGATCCCACCAGCACTATTACCTTGGGTGCCCACCAGGTGATCCCCATGTGGAGGGCATAGTCACAGCAGACCTTGGGGTCAGCCAGACCCCGGCATTTCTCATAAGCATCCACAAGGGAGGTCTCCTTGTCTGGCAGGACGTGGCCGATGATCATGGTGGTGCCTCCGACGAGTGCTGCCTAGGAAGATGGGAAAAGGCAGCCTTGTCACAGCCCTGCCTGCCCTCGAGTTGATGACGTGGTGAGACATGGTCCTCACCATCCATTCAAAGACAGGTCCTGCCTCACAAGAGGCTGTGAGGACCAAGGGCAGCGAGGTTTGGGAAACTGTAAAGAGCCGTGGGGAGGCGCAGGAGCCAGTACGACACCTTCATCACGACCGTGGGTCTCAAACCTGCTTGTTCCTCAGCTGGGGTTTCAGCTTGATGCATTGGAAAAACCACATCATGGGTCAGCAGGCCTAAGGCCTATCTTCCCAATGAGGACATTCTCTCCCCAGATGATTTTTAGCCAATTGACTCTATAGATGACAGGATCAAATGTCTACATGTAATATATAACATAGTGCTGTATCATATAATAACATAATATTAATGGCATAATCAAATATCTGTTTATAACATTTACTTACACACATATACTTGAACCATGATATATAAAATGTTAATTTGTATATATTGTTTTGTTTTATTCTCTCAAATTTCATGAAGCAATTCTGTTCAAACATTTCGCACCCATCTTCAACCTCAGGGTCTTTGTCTTCAGTTTTTCTAAGCACAGGAGCTTCATTTTCATCTATCTTGTTTGACACAGGTGTTTTTTTTAGATGTATGTATAATCTATTAGTGAAAACCAATCCTATTCACAACTCTGCCACTTTAAAAAGAAATTGTTAAAAAGCCTCACTTGCAATCACAGAGTGAACCCCCAGGAAAAATGACTAAATCTGTATTGGAGAGTCCCCCCTCAACTTTTTAAAAGTGAATTTGATCAGGGGACTTCTGTGAACTTCCAAAACTAGCATTGATCAAAGGCTACTTCAGGCTAATGTGTTGTTCCCAAACAAAACTTAAGATAAAATTAAAATAATTGAGAGTGGGCACAGTGGCTCACGCCTGTAATCCTAGCACTTTGTAAGGCTGAGGTAGGTGGATGACCCGAGGTTAAGAGTTCAAGATGAGCCTGGCCAACATGGTGAAACCACGTACAAAAATTAGCCAGGTGTGGTGGCAGGTGCCTGTAATCCCAGCTACTTGGGAGGCTGAGGTGGGAGAATCGCTTGAACCTGGGAGGCGGAGGTTGCAGTGAGCCGAGATTGTGCCACTGCACTCCAGCCTGGGTGACAAGTGTGTCATTGCACTCCAGCCAGGGTGACAAGAGTGAGACTCCATCTCAAAATAAATAAAATAAAATAAAATAATTGGGAAAGAGCCCATAACATGAGAGTCTTTGTGAGGGCTCTAACACAAAGTAACTCTTTCTGGTGAAAAATGGCTTGAGTCCTTACAGTGCTTCACTGCTCCATGTTCAACTCCCTGCTCTGTTCCCTCGTGGTTGGAATAACCCCAGCCAGGTTACTTAACTTCTCTGAGATGCAGATTCTTTACCTACACAATAGGGTGGCTTCCTTTTTGGGTAGTTAGTTGTGAAGGTTAAGTAAAACATCACTTATGGAACAGATTTGGTAAAGTGTTGTCCTAACGTGTGTTCAGTTACTCAGAACTTAGGTGTTCGTTTTTGTTTGAGACTAGGTCTCACTCTGTTGCCTCAAACTCCTGGGCTCAAGTGATCCTCCCGCCTTGGCCTCCTGAGTAGCCGGGACCTCAGGCACATGCCACCTTGCCTGGCTAATTAAAAAAATAATAATAAATTAAAAAAATATATATATATATATATTTTTTTTGCTCTGTAGAAACAAGGTTTCCCTACATTAGACTGGTCTTGAACTCCTTGCCTCAAGTGATCCTCCACCTTGGCCTTGCAAAGTGCTGGGACTGCAGGCATGAGCCACTGCACCCAGCCAGAATTTAGGTGTTTATCTCCATTTTCTGTAGGGAAGAGAAAGAGCTCCATGAAATTGTCCTAATGGTTCCATGCTTCTCTATTCAGTTAAATCCTTGATCACAAATAAAAAATATTGCTGGGGAAAAAGGGACTAAAAAAAATTAGCTCAGTGGCCCAACAGCAATTAAAATGAAAACTCTTACAACCTTAATGTTCCATGACGCAGGCTGGGCCAGTAAGAATGTTCTCAGTGGTTCTGGGGAGGTTGGTGGTTTGACTTCTTGCATAGCTTAAAGCAACCAACAGAGGGTGGTAGCTCTGTGGTACCTGCAGAAGCTGTGAGGAGGGTGGCAGAGGAACTGGGAGAAGGAGAGCCGTGCAGATTGTAGCTTTACTAGCAGGATTCTATTTCTGATTTTGCTGGATCGTGCCAGGCTGATTCATCCTCACAGCAGGTGGTTGTACTCTATTTTGTCCTGAAATGCATCTCTTGCTTGTATACATACACATGGGGATGTATATTGGGGTTTTACACACTAAATTGTTTCATTTTTCTGTGGCTCTAGATTGTGTTCCTTTGCACCCCCAATGTACCTCTGCAGGCTTAGATAAAAAAAGAAACTGGAAACAGCACAGTGAAGATAAAAGAGCCAGGTCCTGTCCTCATAGTGTGGGTCCCAGGGCAAGAGGGAAAAAGGAGGATCATGTGCTGATTCTATAAACACTCAAAAGATAGATCAAGCCAAAACACCATTACCAGAATATACCCTATCCTCCTAACCTCTCAAACACATCTTCATAAAGGCCAAAAGGGCCAGGCTTAAACTTAGAATCCTCAAGGTCCTTAAAATTCTGAGCTACGCTTCAGGGATAGTTGGCCTTAGCCTCTATGCCTGGCCCCAGCCCACGCCCCCAGCCCACACCCCCAATCCTGATTTGATCCTACAGCCTGCAGACCTAAGCTCTGTCCACTTTCTGCAAAATTCGGGCCTTGGGCCTTGTATGCACACATTGCTGGTCTGTCCCTCGGGAGGAGAGATGCAGGTTTCTGTAGACTCTGGAATGCTCTGGGCATTTCTCAGGGAATTCCAGGGACCTAGAGTGTAGTTTAGGAATGGCTGAGTGAGGTCTGGGTAGACACAATCCCCAGACCTAGGGGGCAGGGGTGCAAGTTGGAGGACCCAAGGAGGACCCTAGAATCCAGAGCCCTGGAAAGAGGCCCCTTTTGCCTGGGTCTAAGAACAGGAAGTGAAAAGAGTTCTGGAAGGAGTTGGAAGCACAGGAGATGGCCTTGACTTTCCCACATCTTGGTTGTAATTTAGGAGCAGCCATGTGCCTCCTGACCCGAACCTTACTTCTCAAGGGTCCCCAGAGGGTCAGATGGCAATGGATGTGAGAGCATCTATGAGCTGGGAGGGGCATGCACATAAGTATCTGGAATAATTATTACCATTGTTACCCTAGGCCTCAAAACAAGAGTTTCATCAGATCAGCAAACTCTTCCCCGCACCCCCCTCCCTACACGGCAGGCTCACAAGCCCACACCACACACTGATGTTCAAGGACTTGTTTCCTCTTGGGCGAGACATACATAGAGTTGGCTTTTTGAATATGTACCGTTCCGACCCACAGGATGAATGCTGACAGGCTCTGTCTTCACAGGAAAGTTGCAGCACAGATGTTACAGACCTTTTCAGGGTCGTCCCCCACAAAACAGCCTCATAGAAATCGGCAGCAGTGCACAGCCCATCCTGTTCCTGAGGCTTTTAAAAGGATGATGTTTAAGAATATGTGATTGTTGAATGCTCATGACTGTTTTTATGCAAAAATTGGTGTTGGTTAAGTACGCTGCAGAAGATCTTTAATGGAAATCAATAAAAATAATGTTCATGAAGGCTATTGTAACATGGAAAAAGTTTTATGCTATCATGAGTGAACAAGGCTTGATTCAAAATGCTCGGAACTATGCTTAAACACACATACCCCACACACGAGGAAAAAAATGGAAGTTAATAGACCAAAATATTAACAATGATTTTTTGGTTCGTTTGTTTGAGACAGAGTCTTGCTCTGTCACCCAGGCTGGAGTGTAGTGGTGCGATCCTGGCTCACTGCAACCTCTGCCTCCCAAGTTCAAGCAATTCTCCTGCCTCAGCCTCCTGAGTAGCTGAGATTACAGGCACTTGCCACAATGCCCAGCTAATTTTGCATTTTTAGTAGAGATGGGTTTCACCATGTTGGCCAGGCTGGTCTTGAACTCCTGACCTCAAGTGATCTGCCTGCCTTGGTCTCCTAAAGTGTTGGGTTTACGGACATGAGCCACCACTCCTGGCCAACAATGGTTATTTTTGTGATGAGATTCTGAGGCATTTATATTTTCTATTTTTCCAAAATTTAACTGAATATATGAGTTTTTAATGTACACTTAAAAATAAATTTGAAGGAAGTTAAAACTGCAGTATTTAAAATTTTAGTAAGCCATGCTTAATGTGTTTAAAATATTTTGAAGTTATGAAATACTTCAGAGTAAAAATATAAAAAATAAAACATATACCCACATATGCACTACTCAACAGATGTTAACATTTTGCCATGTTTACCTCAGATGCTTTAAAAAAAAAAAAAAGAAATATTTTTAATACAACTAACGCCCTCCCTCCTATTCCCATCCCTCTCCTCCCTGAAGATGGTTTATATTCCTCCCATCTATGTTTTTATGCTCTTACTATGTAAACACATGTTAAAAAATTTATACAAATGATATCTATCCTACTGTCTATATTCTTTTGCAACTTGTTTTCATGTACTCAATATTATCTTCGAGATTTATTTATGTATATTTATTTCATTCCTTTTAATTGATTCATTGTATAAATATGCCTCCATGTATGAAAGCATTTCCAGGTTCATGGTTATTTACAATTTCACACAGTACTTGAGCATTCTTGAACACATATGAGCAGAGACCACATTCCAGGTGGACACTGCCAGGAAGCAGAATTGCAGCTCTGTAGAACATCCTCATCTCCAAATATTCCAGACCTGATCATGGAACAGCTGATCTCACTACGACCTCCTTGAGCTTGGTGGCTGACCAAAACTGCCCATTTATCAACTCAAGTCCTTACTTTTAAAATATAAGCATTTAAAAAATATCTGTCCAGCTAAGCATTTCC